AGGTAGAATAAGAGCAGTAGAAATGGAGTTCCTGAGGAGAAGCTGTAGACTTACAAAAAGAAACAGAATTGAAAACGCAGAGATTAAACGTAGAATGGGAGTGCAATCAGACATAATCGACTATATAGAGGAGAAGAGACTATCCTGGTACGGCCACGTCAGAAGAGCGGACAGAGGACGTTGGATAAACAAAATTACAGATTGGAGCCCGATCGGAAGAGGAAAGAGAGAGGAAGACCCCGAAGGTCATTCAGAGACGAAATCGACGGGGCTACGGAGAAAAGAACCCTGCGAGATGGAGACTGGAATGACAGGGAAAATTGGAGAAAACGGTTGAGTAAAGGAAGACAGTGAAAACTGTGGAAATCCTTAGTAGTAGTAAATTGAAAGTGCCCTAATTTTGTATAGCCAGGTATTTAAACTTGAGACAGGTACCTTAATTTGAGATACTATTCAAAAAAGCCCTTTTCTTCGCAGAAAAAGCAAATAAATGTGCTGGACTTTATTTTTCTACAGTCTTCATGTGCCCACTTGCCACATTGGTAACACTTTGTCCATCGTTCGCCATATCTATCGTCAGAAAATTAGCCGCTGCAAAATAAACATTCCGTGTCATTTTCCCCACTTTCGTTGGATGATGAATCAGCTAATAGAAATTCTTCACTGCTATCTGAGCTTGAACTGAAAGAAACTTTTCACTTCCTTCTTCATGTTTTGCCTTTTGATTTAGAAGGGTGACCTACGTCTTCATCTGCTAGTTTTTCTTCGGGCGTTGCTGTTTTTTTTAATTTAACACCTTTTGTTAAACTGTTTTTTTCTGGAGCCAATACACAATCCAAGTTTGGCTGAGGTATTAGTTTTTTTGCTTTTTTCTGCTGCAAACTTTGCTCTAATTCTTCTTTGTAGGGTATTAGAGGAATTACTAAAACCTTTCTCGCATTGGATGATCTGGTTGTTCATGGTTTGGTCCTATTATTTGTTCGTCCCTTTCGTTTTGTGTTTCTAAGTGCTCTTGAATTCCAAATTCAAAGTCTCTAAAAATATGGCGACAAATAGGAACCAGTCCAGTTTTTCAGAAACCATTGTAAGATATTTCAATCATCGCAGCTTTGTTATATGCTTTACAAAAAATACTGGCAACGGCATAAGGCGACACAACACTCAACTGATTTTCTCTAAGCCAGTTTTCTATTTCATCTAAAGCAACATCCAACGGTTGCATTTTATGATTCTGTTTGGCCAAATCAGAGCAACGTTTCTCGTATGAGAATAATGACCATCAAGGACGAGAAGAACAGGGTGTACAGCTGAAGGTTTAGTGAATTTTATGAAGTGTTGAAGCTATCTAGTGAAAATATCGGCCTGTATTCAATCTGACACATGGCATTCTGTGACTGCTCCAGTGGGAGCTCCTAGCATCAACTCTGTTTTCATATATTTTCTAGGGAAGATGAATAATGGTGGTATGAAAACTCCTGCAGCATTCATACATGTAATAACAGTAATCAGCTTGCCCCTTTCTGCTGAAGTAAGTGAAGAAACCTGCTTCTTCCCTCTCATAGAATTTACTTTGCTATGTTTGTGCTGAACAATTGTAAGGCCCGTTTCGTGTACATTGAATATACGTTGTACAGTACGTTTTGATTATATATCATTTGAAATATTGCTTATTCACTTTTAACTCAACGATATAAACGAAATTAGCCTAACTTTTTTATAAAATATATTTTTTTATATATAATAGAAACTTACTTTCTTTATAGGTGCTATAAATTTCTAAGCGAATTTGATATTTGACGCCATGTCAAACTGAACTGATGTTAACTGAAATGTTTTTGTTATTAAGTAAGAACATTTGTAATATTTACATAATTCGATAAATATATTTTAATGAACAACTTACCTCAACAGGGTTTCATTCGGCAAATAATTAAAAAAAAAGGTAGGTATTTTGAATAAACCTTTGTGCATTATCATTATCTTCTAATTTAACAGCATCCTTACTCATCTAAAAATATTAACTTTTAAAGAACATTTATCATATTTATTTAGGAAAAACTTACCAACGGATTAGCTAATGGAACAAATGAAAAACTTTGACTATACATTATAATAAAATTTAAAATAGAACCAACTAATTAACTAAATAGAACTAACAAAGAATTAAACAAAAATATTAAAACAATAAAAATATATTAACTAAAATAAACAACGTTAATAATACAAATATTTAGTACAGTATGTTACATTGTAACAACTCAAATATTATATTTTAAATATACAAGGAAAATTTTATGGGTTTAATATACACTTCCACTATTTAGAATAATTGTTCTTTTTTCAATGGAAGAAGTCTGCAATAGTAAATATATTTGAGCTATTATTACTCAGAAATAGGAATTTTTGTTATTTTGAGATTTTTTAAATATGAATTTGTCAAAATATGCCCGAGCTAAGTGAATGTACCTTAAGCAGAGCTCAAAAACAGATCTAAGACAGCAAAATTGGAGCCAAAATGTGAAGATAAAGACCAACGGACAGATAGAGAGATGAAGTGGAAGAAAATATTAAGAAGCCAAATGTTGTCAACTGGAAAAATAAAACAGAAGACAGAATAATTTGTAAGGAAATAGGTAATCAAGGTTACGGTCGGAAAGATTTCCACTAAACCTAAAGCTAGGATTAATATTAATAAACTCATCAAGCTTCTGTGTATAACCGCGTCGATTATTACTGCGCCTAGCTTTCGACATCCTCCCTGATGTCTTTTTTAGGCCTTTTGAGGTCTCAAGCTCCCGAGCCTCCAGACAATACTACACTGATCACTACTCACTGCACTGCTGGTATTGGGAATAGCGGACGGTTCATTTATACCGTTGATAGTGGCGTGTGTGTTGGCGCGAACATTTCTGATTGCTGAACTTTAATTGAAGGGTGAAGCGGACTATATTTTTTTTATGAGAGGTGTCCTTTTTTAACGTTTTTCCACTTTCTATGGCTTCTCGGATAATTCTTGCTTTATAGAAGCGGATGGTTTCTATGGTACTGGAGTTTTCAAAATCAATTTTGAGACCTGTATGAAGATGGTGTTGACCTAGAGCTACAATTGAATCGGAATTGCGAACAGAAATAGAATGTTCAAAAATTATATTTTGGATTCTACGATTTGTTTGGCCTATATAAAACCTAGGGCAGTCTACACAAGAAATTTTATAAACTCTGTGTTATTCATTTGGAACGTTGCTTTTGATTAATTGTATAAGAGATGAACGTTTTTGTTGGAAGTAAATATTGTCTTTATTACTCTTGACTTAGGAATTTTGTCGATTTTGTCAGCGACACCTTTGATGTAAGGAAGAAAAGCTTTGATGTAAGGAAAAAGTTATGATGAAGAGTGATGGGAGATTGATATCTGTGGATGCTCCTATTTATGTGATTTTCACGGTAACCGTTTTGGATGAGGGCTTCTTTTAAACTAGAGAGCTCAGCTATTATTATTATGATACCTGTAATAAAAGCAAAAACAAAGTGGTGTTATTATGGAATATGTAAGAGTGATACACGCTCTAAATGATTTAAAGACAATACATATATCATTTTATAAATTGTCTAAAGCCTTTATTTCTTTATAAGCAATGTTATTTCTTTATTAACTAAAAAATATTTAATAATTATTTCTTTATAAATTTATAAACGTATGACGGACAATATATTAGATATACGTCATTTTCAAATGTGTCTGCACAAAAAACAAGGCTGCTTAAGTCCTATTCATCGAGCAAAAAGATAAAAGAGGGAATGTAAAGGTAGTGGGGACAAAAATATTGTTAGACAGGAAGTGCTATCTTGAGAAGCCACTTTAAACAAGGATAGACAGTCTCTTTCCTTGTTTAATAAGTCAAATTTAGTTTGGTTATGTTATTGTTTGTCCCAACTGTCACATGAAATTTTATTTATATTGAAGTTTTTTACCAATTGTGTCACTTTTTAGACTATTATCGTTAATATTTAATTAAAAGTTTCTTGTCTGAAAAATATTTTACAGCTATTGTTAACAAGTGTTGAAAAATTTAAATTTAGCGCCTTTGCATTTCCGGATATGCCCGCCATCAGAGGCCACTTTTTTGGTCTCCTTTTCATAACGATTAGATTCCCTCTTTTATCTTTTTGCTCGATGGTCCTATTGCAGATAATCGGGCAGTAATAAAAATTATTAGAAGATTGGATTTGTTAAAATAAATATGTCACAAATTCATTTCACACACAAACATTCACAATATCTGTTTTCTGCAACCAACAAATATTGTACAAATTAAAAAGATTATTTTTCTTGATGAGAATAATTAGAAGAAAAAAATCTACTTTAAAAATTCAATTTTAAACTTACTTACTTTTAGAACACCTCTCGTAACACAGACATCCTATTTATTGTCGTAACAGAAGAAGAGATTGACAGCTTTAAAGACCGTTTCAGAAATGGCAATCATCCACATGATTCATCATCTAATTATTTTTGTAAATATTTTTACGATTTCTCACTCTATTTTTTATAAATGTTACGTTATTTACTAACATAGTTGATAAAATGTTTGCTTTAAATAAATTAAAAATTCCAGGTAAATTTAATCTACTCGTAATAAATATTCAGTATTGTTATTTCACCTTTTCAAATTCCATACTGGTTTGATGACATGTCCGCTAGAGGGTTCTAAGTGCGAAAACTGGGCGATTTCTTGTTTATTTGTAGTTTTTTTAGTTATTTGCGTCGACTTATATTGTGATTAATAATATTGATGAAGTGATTAAGTGACTTGTAGGAAAACGAAATGAAAACGCTATTTGTCAAAAAGAAGCAGTCGTTAGATTTATTTTCAAAACATTTAAATCAGGTTATGTAGCACGTATGTTGACACTACTAGAGAGTTTTGTACAAATATTTCAAGAAGTATTTTAACCTACTTAGGACTTCCTTTGCTACTTTTTAATTGTTGAGTATTGCAATGTTTAGTAAGAAAAAGAAGAAACCTCAAATATCACAGCCCACCAATTTTGAACACAGAGTTCATACAGGCTATGATAAACATGAAGGAAAATATGTAGGGCTTCCACTGCAATGGGCTTCAATTGTGGGCAATAACCAGATCTTAAAATCAACCAACAGACCACTACCTCTAGTTGATCCTTCCGAGATTACACCAACTGAGATATTAGACCTGAAAACCATTGTGAGGGGAGATCACAAAAATGAAAGCAAACAAGGTGTACCTCAAGTCAAACCTAACAATGGTATCATGCTTCCTAAAACTTCCAATGTTGCTAGATCAAATTCTCTTAGATCTTCTAGTCCTCCTAGATTAAGAAGAGACCATAGGAACAATACCAATGTGCCTCCATCAGTACCTGAGGAACAAATTATGCAGTATACATCTATGCGGAGAGATCCTAGTATAAGTAAGTTACTACAATTAAACTTTACGTTTTTATGATATTAAATTGTACTTGGGAAACATTTGATCACAAGTTGATAGATAAATGTGTGATTGGAAAATTACAAGGTAAGTTCCCTATTTGCTGACTGTATGTTTTGATAATTTAAGCATTTATTTTAATCACTCCATTTTTCCTTGTTTGATATGCCAATCAAAAACAAATAAAAATAAACAGAAACAAACTAAAAAAAGTTTCAAAAAACAAGTATTTCTATAAAACAACACAAATAATCAAATAAAGAGTAAAAAGAAACAAGAAGTATATTAGAAAAGATGTACCGACATCAGAAACCTAATGTATGTAAAATGTTAAAACTATTTTTTATTGAAAATATGCATGAAGTGATGGTTTATCTAATGAAATAAATAGGGTTTAACCAAAAGCTTTGATTCTATAAGTGTATTATATACTTAAGGTTAAGAAATAAACATTTTCCTTTGAGCTTGTGATCCTATCAATTAGCTTATGCGAGAGGTTCTATATTATCAAAATTAGATGCTATAATAACACACTTATTATTGTTCCATTCTACAAAAAGTATTTCTTCATTTACCCCAAATCGAATATTATATGATGCACAAGCTTCTTTACCAAGAGTTTTTGTATCTTGTATTAGACACGTCGCTAATATATTTTCTCGCAAGGTTCCTGTTGCTCAGTATTCACATTTTTGTAAATGAAATAATAAATCTCTGTTAGTAAATAATTTATTAAAAAATACCCAGTGGCTTGCAGTATCTGCTACTTACACAAAAAATACCAAAATTTGTAGCTAAATAGAATGAGCTTTCCACATATAAATTACTTAAATGAGTTATGTCCATATTATTTCACAATCATTTCATTTAGGTACTTTATTTTTATATTTATTATTCAAAGTAATATTTCTTAAAATATTAGTTACTGCAGAATAATTTCTCGTAATTATGATAAAATATAAAACTTTTTGTGCAAATCACAATAAACAAATGTAAAATTTAAAAAATAATATGACTTGTGCATAGATTAAGATTCAACGGAATACTGAAATACTGCACATTTTGATAACGCTAAGTACCAGTGTCCTCTTATAGATCACTAAAATAAACTTATAATGACGATTTAACAAGAATAATCCAGTAAATTATAAAAAGACAGATATGAAACTTTTATTATTAAGTAAATGTGTTAAATGCAGTCAGCTAATTTGTCCGATGTTTATAATTTTTTTTATTGAAAGGATATAATACAACAAAAATTATAATTTAGTCTACTACAAACTTATACCCATGGAAAACTTTTCTTTAAATTTAAACTAATTTCAAGAGTTAAAAAAAAAATAAAATTTGTGATCTTTAAATGATATGCTGGCCTATAATGGATTAAACAAACCTGGCATCCAATGTGTTCTTATCTCTTGTGTTAAACTGTTTGAAACATTTCCTTGAAACAAACCTGGCATCCAATGTATTCCTATCTCTTGTGTTAAAGTGCTTGAAACACTTCCTTGTTTGTTATTTTGGTGACCATTGCTGTTACAGTCTCCATTAGCGCAACTGGTTTTATATCAAAGATTTCTTTGAATATACTGCCAACATGCTTTTTTCACCTCTTTTGATATCCTTTTCATGAACTAGTATTTTATTATTGGATCGAAATAATATAAAAATAAAATTTCAATTAAGTAGATGTTGTTTGTCTGTCCATCCATCTGTCTGTCTTGTCCAGAGCTGTTCAACTTCAAGTAGTTTGGGGGCCACTGTATAAGAAAATAATAATGTGAGGGCTGCATCATATACGACTTGGTAAATGATTTATAATGAATAAAACTTGTGTATATTTGAATATCCATTTTTATTTATCCAAGAAGCTAAGGTTACATTACAAGGTTAATTGCACATAGAAAAAAATCACATATATATATATATATATATATATATATATATATATATATATATATATATATATATATATATATATATATATTCCCAAATTTAGCGAGAAGTTTGTGGATGCTGATTTTCACCAATAAGGGTATCAATATTAATTTCATTATTTGTTGTTGACAAATGAAGCAATTGCGATAGTGATCTATCAGAGAGGGAACATCTGTATTTGAGTTTTATACATTTCATGTTTGAAAAGCTGCTTTCACTGAGATATGTGCTTCCAAGCATAGAACTCATTCTAAGACCAAATTTTCTTAAATTGGAATAACATTCATTTAGTAGTAATTTGGAAATGTCCATGGTCACTTAACTCTCATAATCACATCTACAATATCAATAGATATCAAGTGTCTGACCATTCCAATATCATTTGCATTGATGATGCGTTGTTACACTTTTCCCTTGTATTTTGCCAGCTTATGAATAGTCATACTGCTACGAGACTTTTTTCTTGTGGGTTCTACTGCTGCCATAGTTTCAAAAGTGTCCGACAATAACTCACGTGCAACTAGTTCTCTAAATTCCCACATGTGAAGTTTTTTGTTTGGGTTTGAGTCATTGAAAATGATCCATGCATTCATCATAGCTGTACCCAAAACAACCTCTACAAAAACTTTTTTAGGCATTTTCTTAAACAGGTATAATAGGCAGACATTTGATCTGATATATCTACCCCTTTCTTAGTTTTGATGTAAGCAATTAGAGCAGGAGTTTTGAAAATGTCCTTGAGAATGTCTCCATCCTCCTGAGAATGGCATGTTTAAGTAACTGATTCAGCTTCTAGAAGAGACCTACAAAGCTGAACGCTAGTATAGAAGTTATCTATATATAATGTTTGGCCCTAATTCAGTAATCCTTGCAGTAAGTCCATACATATGTCTTAAGTGTGTCCATAAAATGTAATCGGTGGATTCGGAATATTTTTCCCTGCATATATTCTAAGTGTAGCCCTCTGTTGTGCACATTTTGTAAAGTTTTATTCCGTGTTTGTGGAATTTAGCAGGCAAATACTGCCTAAAGGTTAGTCAGTCTCTCCAAGGCACCATCGCATCGTCTCATCTATTACAATTGGTTCGCCAGGAGAAACTGTCTTTTTAAATTGATTACAGATGAGATCGACAATATCTTTTAGTTTTGCCCAATCGATCACTACTGACAGCAGGATTTTTATTATTCTCAAAGTGTAAAAATTTCAACAGTATATTGAATCGGTCACGTGTCATAGTTTGTTGAATAAGTTTGTTACCAAACATTTCACTGCTGCTCCAGTATAAGCGCATTTTGGATAAATGATGAATGCCCATAATTATAATTATGCCGATGAGTTTTTTTATTTCATTATGATTTGTTTCTTTCCACTTCCGGTACATTGAACGGGACCGCAGTACATGGGATCTCAAATATTGTCCCGTAAAACGATGTGTCTCTGAAACAATCACATCAAGTACTTCATGTGGCACAAACTGCCTGAAAATGTCACATGGTTTCGACAGGTTTATAGTGTCTACAATTACACCACTCTATCCAGAGAACTGAAAACTCACTGAAATGTGTTCACATTCACTCCATGTGTAACTTTCTTTAAGTACCACGATTCTGCATAAATATTTCATTATCTGACTGAGCATTCACTGCATCTACTTCTTCATCAGAGTTTTGGTTAGGTGGCTCGACGTCTGATTTCTCTTGCACACTATCACTGGGAACATAAGATTGTTCAGAATCTGCGAAGTGATTAGATTCTCCCGAAGAGGTAACAGAAACAGCAGCTGTAGTTGAAGGATACATTAGTGGCTCTATGTTCTGGGATAATTTTGCTGAAGGTTTAACATTTTGTAGTAACGTAGAAGTAGCGGCTTAAGTATTTTCATGTTTTTCTTAGTTATTTTCTGTGTTGTCGGAGACCAATGCAACTATTTTTTTTCCTATAGAGGACATTTCTACTGGCTAATCTGGAACAAAAAGCTATTTTATGGACGCATTCTTCCGTGGTGTACCGTACCACCGGTGGTACATGTCGGTTCCAGTAAATAATAATTCATTACAGCCATCATGTACCACCGGTAGTACAAGTTTCAAATGTCATTTAAATGTAAAAAAAACCTTTTAAAAGTTAATACAATTTTTTTTGTAATTTAAATCCAGTTACACTTAAAATAAATGAAAAGTTGGTCTCGGCTTTGACTGATGACAGTGTTTTGAGGTGCCGGTCAAGGTGTTCAAGTAAGGTAAACCGACTGAATAACGGCCCACTTAAGGAATATTTGACTAGACGTAAATATTCTTTCTTTCTTTCTTTCTCCCCTTCCTTTTACCCTAGCAGAGTGTCGGATTTGGGCTAGCTATTTTAATTTCCATTTACTCACCTCTTCTATTCTTTTCTGTTTCCTTTAAGTTTTCCCGCCTCTACTACTTGCTGTATCCATTTTTTCCTTGGTCTACCTCTTTTTCTTTTTCCGATGTTTTTTGCTTCATAAACTTTTCTTGTTATTCTATTGGATTGCATCCTCATCAGATGCCCATACCAGTTCATTTGTCTCTTTGCTATTTTGTTCATTATCGGTTCCTGGTTGGCCATTCTTCTAATAGTCTCGTTGCTTAATCTATCCCATTTTCTCTTTCCAACTATCCTTCTTAGATGTCTGATCTTCATTGCGTTTATATTGCTCTTATGTTTTTCCAGGATTGTCCACTTTTCACTTGCATAGAGCACAGTCGGTATCACTATTGTGTTATATATTTTTATTCTTGTTTTTCGTGCAAGTTGTCTTTTTTCCATTATTGGGGCTAACGCATAGTATAACTTGTTTGATTTCTTTGCTCTATTTGTTATTTCCCAGTCTATTTTTCCGTCATTAGTTATTATACTTCCCAGGTATTCGTAAGTTGTTACCATTTCCAATTCTGAGTTTTTACATTTTATCTTTATTTCATTATCTTCCTTATCTCCTTTGCCGCTGATTATCTTACTTTTTTCCTCGTTTATCTCCATTTTTAGTTCTTCTATTTGTTCTACCCATATATCCATTAGTT